AGAGCCATAACAGAAAAGCAGCTAATATGGATCAAAGCCATTGTTGGAATATAAAGTTATTTGATTGCATATTTCCGGTTAAGTTGGTGTATGTACTATTACTACATATGCTAATTAAGTATGTATATTTTCAGTGTACCCTTGTTGCTACCAAATGTAACACAAGATTGTAGGTGGCAGGGAAGTAAGAAATGAGAAGAGAGTTCCACAGGTGAGAAAATAAACTACTAGAATAGAATTTCCGATTACATCTATTTCAACACTAATACAATGAATTCTAGTAGTAAACATAAATTCATAACAGTATCAAGGAGTAAAGCTCATTAGAACAATTGCCATGAAAATATTTATAGAAAAGGCAGAAGGAAGAAACATCCCAGTGGTGGAAGTGATTGCAGTCAAGATTGGTAACCCCTTCTTTGGATTTTATTTAGAATCTCGAGATATTTAGTAGGAGCACCAGATCAGACATAGCAGCAATATTCAATGTACAGATGAATCGTATTATAAATGTGCAAGATGGAATCACAGTGAATCAACTTTTCTAGCGGCAGACCCAGCAATTGATTCAATATAATCACTCCACTTAATGTCGGTGGAAAACATGAGACCAAGTTGTAATGAGTCACTTACCTGGAAGTTAGCACCAGCCATGCTCATAGAAGACAAAAATGGTTCACTATGATGATTAAAAGATAGCAATTTCATTTCAGAGGTGTTAAAATTTACAAGCCATTTCTTGTCCCAGTTAACAACTGATTGGAGGCAGCTGCCAGTTTTAATTTGTTGGACCTATTAGACTTATTAGTAAGTTAGGAGTAAATAGTTGTATCATCACCATAAATACCTAGTTGGGAATTAATGACAGTAAGAAACAATGTAGATCCAAGAATAGATCCCTGGGGTTCCACATATTAATGTGAAATGATCTAGAAGTGTAGCTGTTCAACAATACTTTCATTACACAATTTAAAAATGATTGGATTAAGTCAAATATTTGCCCAGAGACACCATAGCTTTTGACCAGAACACCTGCATCAAATTCCTTTGAGATATCTAAAGCCACAGCAATTCTTATCTAAAGCTTGATTGATAAATTTGGTAATAACCATTAACACACTGGTAGTTGACCTAGAAATAAAAGCCATTGTTTATCTGAAAAAAAAAAAGGCTATGCGTAATTGTCAAAATAAAACTTCATTGTGTTTTAAACATTAGTAACTAAAAATTTTATACAAGTCTTATATTATGTACTCTATTTAAATTCAAACTATTGTCCTCATCTTTGTTGCTATTATCACAATGTTTCGGATATTGTGCCATTCAGTCTTCCTCATTAGTATATTGATCTGGGTAACCTACAGGGAATTCTGAACTGAATAAGAACTAGACAATATCCCTAGATATGGACAGTGAAACAAGAACAGTCTATCTCTGTAGATTAAATAAAGGATTCAGATCAGAATTCCCTGTAGATTAGCCAGATTGATATACACCCAAGGGAGGCTGGAGAGCACAACGGCCAAAGTGTGATAACAACAAAAACATGAGGACAATAGTTTAAATAGAAATAATGTAAATAATTATAAATCCTTATCCCTGAAATTAAGTCTTATATATGAAAAATGTCTGTAGGTTTTATTCTAGAAAATAAGTACAGGCAAAAAAAAAGAATTGTTTGAAGATAATGGATTTATAAAAATGTTCATTTTATGAAGGATCAAATAAATATAGAATGAGGAATCTTTAGAATTTAATATCTAATTTAGCCCACCTAGACATTTTTAATTTTGTGGTATCCGAGCTCATCTCAAAATGCAGGCATGAAAATAAATTTTTACTACGTAACCTAAAAAATGAAAAATGGAAAAAATAAAACAAAAACAAATAAATACACTAATAAAAAATAGAAATAAAAAATAAATAAATACAATGTTGCTTAAAACCAAAAAGAGAAAATATACAAGTAAAATAAATTGACCTAAATTCATCCAAGTAAATAAATAGACAAACCAATCCCAAATTAAAAACTGTTCCCGCCAAAATAATAGTTAGAATGATCTATAACAACCAACCCCAAAATTGAACAAATAGCTTTAATTAAATTCTCAAACCAAAACAAAACTGTTAAATAAGTGATATAAACAATTTTTTACTACGTTAATAAATAAATAAAATAAGAAATAAAAACGAGCAATATAATTTGACCCAAATAAATAAACAAACGACTTCCGGTAAAATAACCGCCATAATAGAATACCCACAATGCACCACTAACCCGTATATATATAAATAGCCGAGAATAATAACAGCATATGTGGCCTGACGATTGCATATAGCATGAAACAGACTGTCACCTCTAAGTGTTGACTTCTATGTTCACTTTTATATTTACACACGTTCTATCTCTGATATTGAGCACTTTATTCCATAAATATAGCACACCTTAAGACTATATTTCTTTATATATATATATATATATATATATATATATATGCAGTTGTATGGAGAGTTGTTTGTGACCTCAGGTTTCATGCTTTCACAATCTTCATACAAACTGGTTTATTTTTTCAAAAGTGGATCTGAAGTTTGTCTGAAGATCGCAAAAGTATGAAACTTAGTTACAAACAACTTCCATGCAACTGCATATTTTAGCTCTATCACAGATATTGAGCACTTACCACTAAATATCACATATATATATATATGTGTGTGTGTGTGCATGAGTTATATATATATATATATATATATATATATATATATATATATATATATGTTGTTATGAACTTGTAGCATATAGGTGAACCACGGGTTTAAAAAAAAGAAACGTGGGATTTTTTCTCGGTCTTCACCCAGGAATGGAAGTGACACAAGGGAGTCAACGAAGAACAGACACAAAACGATGGATTTTAAAATAAAACATTTATTTATAAAGGATGGGCGAGCGAATACATCCATATACATAAAAAAAAGATCAAGCCAAGAGAATTAACTTATCTGTCAGTTGAATTGATATTTCCACACAAAATTCTGATTCACCGAAGCAAGAGTTCTTATGTTAAAACAATATTTTGGTCAGCTGGCAATTTTCCTGGGTTCCTTTTCTTTCGGAAGTGTTCGGGGTCCACAGCACCTGGTACAGGTGTTTCGTTGGTCAATTCAGTTTTGTAGCAGTCCTTTCATCTCTAGTCGACAGACTTTGCTGTCTTCTTCATTTCAGTGGGCAGTCCATTTGGAATCGGGATAATTCGCCCAGTGATATTCATCTGCCACTGGTCAGACGGAAATTGCCAACCTTTCTTTAGATTTTTGCTGTCCCCAAAGACAGTCATGTGGGTTCTCTTTGTCCTTGACTGGGTACGCAGGAGGATGGAGCGCAAATCACAAAGTGTATGTGTGATGGCCAAAATTTCAATCAATGCTTAGTATGGTCTGATCACGTGAATCGCAGCAGGAGATCCTGATGGTGCCTGGAATTCACTTATGGTCAACCACCTGATATCTGCAAAATTTTGGAACCAGGTCATTCTTGCATCGGGTCGCTTAAAAGTTTACGGGCCTGTGGCTTGTGGGTGGAAAGGTAGGTAAAGAGGGAAAGAATTTGTGAAGAGAAGAGGAGGGTATGGCTGATCATGGAACATATTCGCCTGCATTGAACTTTATCTATTTTTATTTATTTATTTTTTATATATAACTAATTTTCGACTAGAATTTGGGATTTTTCTTTGGGGTGCTTTTTTAGCCTTACGGCTATATGGTTAATAAAATCGTAGGTACACAATCACAATATATATATATATATATATATATATATATATATATATATATATAATTATATAATAAACTCAACCACCACACCATGTCAATCGTTTCCAATGAAACTTTCATAAAAGAGGGATATATATATATATATATATATATATACACACACACCATCCTGAAAAGTAGTCTTACCAAGATGAAACAAATAAAATGTATAATGCTGCAAAAAGAATACCTATTTTATAATCTTTGTTGTCATTTAAAAGTCTTGTTATTGTCATTATTCACTTTTATCAAGTTTCATTTTCAAAGACATAGGTCAGGTGAGTGTTTTTTGTTTACAGTTAGCTGTGTAAAGAGACAGCCATCAGTAGCCTAAAAGAAAAACAAAATAAATTCCATTCCCATTTCGTAAGTTTCAAATGAAAAAATACTATCAAAAGCACAAAATTATATTGGAGATTGTTTCTGCAAAATTACTTTTTCAAAGCACGCAAATATTTTCATTGTCCACACATTAATAATAAAAGAGAAATTATAGTCTTACAATGAATAGTTACAAATGATAACTTACTATAAAAGATATTTCTACACAAGTGAAAAGAGCTAAGAGCTTACTTATCTAACAAGATAGAAAAAATATTAAGTTATTATTATTTATATTTGGAGTAATGTCCTCATCTTTGTTGCTATTATCATAACATTTTGGCTGTTGTGCTCTCTGGCCTTCTTGAAGTGTTTGTTGAAGCAAGGAACCTTCAGAGAATTTTGAACTGAACCCTTTATTTAATGTACAGGGGTAGATTGTTCTTGTTCTACAATCCATGTCAGCATGAGGCAGGCAAAAAGTAAATTAAGTTTAAAGCTCCAAGTTTTAGGTTCAAGATTTTCTCACAGAACAATAGCTTGGCAAATTAAGTGTTGGTTTGTAAATTTGGTGATATAGTAATTATGACTTTATTGATCCATTTTCTATGGTTTATCCATCCATTTTAGGTGATTTAAAGCCAGAAAATAATTTTAGATTGTAAGAATTTTTTTTCTGATATAACAATGGTTTAATGATACAAGTGTTACTAATTAACCCATAGCTGGGGAGAGAAGAGGTGGATTCATACCTTTCCCAAGGGTATTTGAATGTGAGTGAATATAACAAACCCAATGGGAATTGGATATTGGCTCTCCAGTTAACAATTCCAAGTCATTATCCATCACACCATCCACATATCCAAGCTTAGAGCACCTGGTATTACCAAGCGGTCACCAATTTAGGTACTAACCAGGCTCAACGTTGCTTGACTTTGGTGATCATATGGTAACCAGTGTTTCAATTTGATGTGGCCATATGTCAAGTGTGACTTTAATTGAGTAGTACAGACTTAGACACAGTGGAAACAGGATGTGCAATCACTGAGCAACACTAAATAAGATTGAGACAAAATATCCCTAGACATGAACAGTGGAACAAGAACCAATCCTCAGAGATTAAATAAGGGTTTCAGTTTGAAATTTCCTGAAGGTTACTCAGGGATTAACAGATACCTGAAATGTGATAATAACAATAAAGATGAGGATATTAATCTGAATGTAAATAATATTGGGAAATAATAATGTAAATAATATAAATAAATAATGTAAATAATAATAATAATGTAGATAATATAAATAAATAATGTAAATAATCATGGTGGAAGGAAATGAAACAATAACTAATCGTATTGCCCAAAACTGGTTTAAGCATTTAGAGAAATGATGAAATTAAGATATCTGTTGATTCTACATCCGCTTTGCTACCATTACCCCACTGTGAGGTGTAAAGCCACAGCCCCAACACACCAGCTGTTCCATAACAAGTAGGTTTTATGGGGTGGAATTACCAGCGCCATGCCTAAATGGCTTTGAATTTTCCGAGATTAGTTGCTAAGCAAAGATAGCGAGACCTGTCTGTCCTACTATTTAACCCTTACCTGGGGGGATTGAGAAGAGATGGATTCATACCTTTCCCAAGGACAGTTGTGTGAAAGTGAACACAACAAATGTCACTGGAATTTGAACTTGACATACCAGTTCCTCTTTCTACACCAATAACTATTACACTATGCACACACCAGTTGTTGATTATGTTGCTTTAGAATACAAAGGTTAGAACCTAAACAGCAGCTCTTGAAAACGTTCAGAACAACAGCTTGGATTATCGAAATATACCATAGGCAGAGCTTTATATAAACTTCAAAAAACATATAAGAGATCCCAATATTTTTTCAATGAAGTTGAAAATGAAAATACATTTGATAGAACATAAAAACACATACATGTGTATGTAAACATGTAGCAAATGAGTTAAAATACCATTTTATCATAAATGAGATATTTCAGTTTTATTTAACACAAATTATCAGTTTCTAAAACATGTACTGAATAAAATTATGGATTCAGTTTGAAATTCCTGACATCTGAAATGATCAGAAGGTATAGTCACCAACAACTAAGATTAGGATGCTCGTCTGAATAATTGAAAAGATTGAAGTAGTTTTTTGTTTTGTTTTGTGCTTAAATTGGTAATGAAGACAAATTACTTACAAAGTTATAAAATAAAAAATTCTGTCTCCTGATTTTTTTCGTTTGTTAGTGGTAACCGTAAAAAGAAACCAAACTACTGTCTTCTAGCAGCTAGCTCCTGAACTATTTGCCTAGCATCACCTCCCTATTACATAAAAAAGGATGCTGGTTTAGGGATCACTCCCTGATGCCTGCAGTATTCAAAAAAAAAAAAAAAAAATGGGGAAGTGCCAAAACTCCAAAATAAAATACGTATTTCCTTTGCCTGTGTGGTTCAAACTTTCAAACAAAAATTAAGTAACCGATTTTTTTAGCCTTCAAATAAATAAATAAATAATGAAAAAGAAATGCGTCCAGGACTACTTTTTTCTTTTTTCAGAAAAAAAAAATTAACAAAAAAAAAAAAAAAGTTATGGCATTAATCATCAACTGTTGTCATGCCAAATGGAATTGTAATCGTGAAGTCCCTTTTCGGCCACCCAATTGCATACTCCTCACGATTATAACGTCTCTTCAACAGTTTTATTTTCGTCTCTGCAACCCTTTTTTTTTTTTTTAAAAAAAAAAAGAAGTTTAGTGACATCTTGTATCGAAAAACGTTTTTTTTTACATAACAATCGCATTATTTTCATCTGGGAGCGGTTTTCCGTTTTTGTTTACTTTTATTTTCTTTAAATAATCACGTGAATAATTCTTTTAGTTTTATCTTAAATAATAATACAGGTGTTAAATGACTGAAACCATGACAGGTAAAAAAAGAAGTCAGTTGTCATATTTTTTGTAAAATTCTTCAAGTAAAAAAATTATAAAAAATTGTTTGAAAAGTAAGTCGTTACTTGCAATTTTTAAAGATTAATTCTCAAAAGAAAAAAAAAAGCATCAACAGAAAATACTAAATTTTATTCGTTTATGCAAATTCTTAGAGAAAAAGTACATAAATAAATCGTTAAAAAAACTTCCAGAACCATTCGTGTGATGTCCTCTGACTACCAACCTTCTTATCTTTTCTTAGTCTGACTCATTCAACCGGCAATCTCTCCTCCTCTCATAAACAATGTTGTACTTACTTGGGATGTTTTTTTATTTATTTATGCACAAAAACATGTTTTATACTGAATAATTTCACTGGTTCTCGATAAAACTTTAATGAGAATTAATAAATATTTAAATTAAAAAAAAAAAAAGAAGCAAATTTGAAAAGTTTTTATTTGATAGAATTTCATTTTCTTTCAGTAATAATAATCTTTTTTCCAATTTTAATGTATGAAATTCCATTGATATTATTTAATATTTTTAAGATGAATTAAATTAATTTTCATAGACACAAGTGTGCTACAGTTAGTAAGGACATAAAACTCATTCATTAAAGCTCGCTATAAAAACAGGATCCATTACGCCGGTAATAACATTTTTGTTGGTTGGATCGACTAACAAGTGGCGAAAAAAACAATGACAACCTTACAATTGAAACTTTGAAATCAATAAAGTTAACATTATTGTTTAATTTCTAATCGATGGAAAGCAACTTGTCTTAGATAAAAAAAAAAAAATGAAAATAGGAAAGTTTAAAAAAAATATTGGATTCGAGAATAACTGTCCACCCACCTTATTCATCACACTCACTCACAGCAATTACATTACATGGCGTGGAGAAATCATTACTTCCAACTTCAATGACTTGTTAGTTTTATGATGTGTTGTATCAATAAAAATATCAATAATGTGTACTTATTTAAATTTAATCATATACAATTTATTTTACAGCTATATAATAAAAATTAAATGTTTATGTTTGCCATATGGAAACCTTTGAGATCTCTATAATAATAAAAAAAAAACATTATTTTAAGTTGCGTTATAGAAATTTACCGTCCTTTTGTTTATTTTGGATAGATAGAAATGAAATTTTATATCAAATTACCTGAACCTTGACTGAGACATTAATTGTTTGGATAGAGAAACATTTACATTTCTTTCGTTTAAAAAAATATCCACATTTACTCATACCACGTGGGAGCTCAAGGCAGCGTAATTTTAGTTTGAATTCTTGAACTGTTTTGATTGGTTAAAATCATCACGTGATAATAACGGCCCGCCAAAACATAACTTTTCTAGTAGGCGGTGCTGTTTTGATGCTGACTGTATGCTTTGATTTTTGAAAGTTGTTGAACCGCTTATATCATTGGGATTTTTATATTTACATCCATATAACAGTGATGCAAAACAACTAAAGACATTGGTAAAATAAATCAAGTTTTCGACTGAGTCATAAAAGAGAACATTATCACGTACCGAGGAGCTCAATGGGAACTCTTCGCAGCACATGCTTTGACGACTGATTACTGGCGTGTGACAAATCAACCTACATCATCGGCAAGTACAGAATCCCATTTAATAAACTGCTTAAATTGAAAGAAGAAACATACTGTCAAAATGTGCTAATGAAAACATTACATTAGATTTTATGCATGTTTGTGAATTTTAATAGAAATGTTATCTCGTCAGATTTTATCACAAATTTTTAAATTATAGCATTCATTTGTTTCGCTAATATTTTTTTAAAAGTTTTCGATTTCACGTATAAATCCCCATCTGTTTATAAACACTGTAATAAACTTACAAAACGGGTATTGTACTATTTGCTATAAAGGTTTTATTTTTATTTGATTTAAATGCCACAAACCAGGAAAGTGGATAATCATTCATCGCCTTCCAGGCGCTGGTCAAAGATTTCGGGGCGATGCCTCCGCACCACACTTGATTTTAACAGTAGTGGCAGTACAGAAGAAGTCATGGATGATGATGATGACGAAGAGAGCAGTGCAAATTCTAGTATTATAATGATGCTGGATGAAGGCTCAAGCCATAAAAAACCAGTGAGCAACATCCCTTCAAATAGTAAACAAGACGATTCCTGTTCTTTGCTTCGTATGACCTTAGATTTGTGTAATGATTCCGCTATTGTGTCTGATTTTCACGACGATGATGATGAAGAAGAACTTAACGATATTATTGCTCGAGAATTTTGCACACCTAGGTCTCCTAAACAAACAAATATATATGCCAAAAACTGTAGTCCGCCCTGTCGCTGGAAGCGCACAGTAAATACAACTGGAGGGCGACTTACTAAAACAGTGACCTCGGCTTATGGAAGTCCAATTCCTTATCACCCAGACTTGGAACTTGCAGCTGTTGTCGACTTTCACAATTCTTCAAATAGTCGTGTTAATAAACCACAACGTATCAACAAAGTGAATAAAAGACAGTATTCAACAATGAACTTGAATAGGAACCAGAATAATCCTAATTCTAATCTTAATGATTCTACTCATAATATGGATGAAGTGACTGAAGATTTCTCTCCACGCAGCCATAAGAAAATTTCTGTACGTCTTAGTGATAAGTTGGCGTGTCCTTCTCCACCACATCGAAGACTTCATGCTCTCAGGCTCTTTGACACTCCACACACCCCGCAAACTTTACTTCTCAATGTTGGTAAGGACCCTCGTTCTCCTTCGGACAGAGAAACCAGAAGATATATGACAGGTTCAAAAAGAACAAAGAAGGCAGAACCACGTCTAGAGGCCAACGTTAACCCCTTTGCTACCGCTACATCTACTTGTATATCTGGTGAAAAAAGAACACGATCCCAAAGTGAAAGGTAATTTTTTTTATTTTAATTTTCTGAAATATACATGAAATTTGAACTTGTTTGTTGTTGGGATTAAATGGCTATGGCAGTCATTGACTTGACATTCCTCCACTTAAATACACACGCACGTCGTG